GGGTTTGTAACCTGTATTATAAATACCTCCTTTCGGAGAATGAAATACATCTGAAAATATTCTACCCATATTATTTGACTCTTTCTACACGATTATTATGTTTTTCAGTTTCTTTATAGTCTCTGTCTTTGCCTTCCTGGAACCTCTCTCTGTGTTCATTTTTCTTTTCCATATTTCAATTGGTGCCATTGAACTACCATCTTTCTAATCATTCTAGCTCCGCGATCAGGTGCCGAGAGAAGATTTCTTGGAACCACTTTCCAATGGCATTGAGCAGCCAAAGGGCCTTCACTTCAGCTACTGCAGTTTGTCCATGGAAATACCAAGTGTTTTTGAGTTTCAGGGGTGAAGACACTCGTAGGGGTTTTGCAGACTATTTATACAAACAGTTGGACTGGCGAGAAATTAGAACTTTCAGGGATGATCCAGATCTTGAAAGAGGGACAGATATCAATCCGGAGCTTCTGACCGCGATTGAACAATCAAGGTTTGCAATCATAGTTCTTTCAACAAACTATGCTTCATCAAGTTGGTGTTTGCGTGAACTTACCCACATTGTTCAGTCCATGAAAGATAAGGAGAGAATTTTCCCAATCTTTTATGATGTGGATCCCTCTGATGTACGACATCAACGGGGGAGTTATGGGGCAGCCCTCGTTAACCATGAAAGGAATTGTGGGGAAGAGAGAGAGGAGGTGCTTGAGTGGAGAAATGCTTTAAAAAAAGTTGCTAATCTCGCTGGGTGGAATTCAAAGGATTATAGGTAAGCAAGCATGAAGCAACAACTGACACATAGATAATAAGACCAATTCTTGAATATTGCATTTCAGTTTTGCCATGCACTTTATCTACGATATATTCATATAACCTCATCTGATGATTGTTTTTTTTTTTTCTTCTACTTCTATAGGTATGAAACAGAGCTTATCATAAAAATTGTTGATGCAGTGTGGGATGAAGTGTATCCCACATTTTCAGTGTTAGATTCCTCAGAGATATTAGTCGGACTTGATACTAAACTAAAGGAAATAGATCGGCATTTAGATACAAGTGCAAATGATGTGCGCTTTGTGGGGATATGGGGGATGGGCGGAATGGGTAAGACAACCCTAGCTAGATTAGTTTATGAGAGAATTTCTCATAGTTTTGAAGGTAGCTGCTTTCTTGCAGATGTCAGAGAGGTTTATGCAACACATGGTCTAGTTTCTTTACCGAAACAGCTTCTTTCCAATATCTTGAGGAAAGAAAATATACAAGTTTATAATGCTTATGATGGATTTACTAAGATAAAGAGGTGTTTATGTAATAAAAAGGTTCTTCTCATTCTTGATGATGTAGATCAATCAGACCAACTGGAAATGTTGATCAGAGAAAAAGATTGCTTTGGTTTGGGAAGTAGAATCATCATTACAACTAGAGATGAACGTTTGTTAGTCGAAAAAGGGATAGAGAAGGTATATAAGGTCATGCCATTAAACCAACATGAAGCTCATCATCTCTTTAGTAAGAAGGCCTTTAGAAAAGATGAACTTGAAGAAGATTATCTAGAACTGTCTGAAAATTTCATAAACTATAAGACGAAGCTCTTTATCTCTTTAGTAGGAAGGCCTTTAGAAAAGATGACCTTGAAGAAGATTATCTAGAACTGTCTAAAAATTTCATAAACTATGCAGGAGGTCTTCCATTAGCTCTTCAAACTTTGGGGTCTTTTTTGTACAAAAGAAGTCGAGATGAATGGAAGAGTGCACTAGATAAACTGAAGCAAGCTCCTGACAGAAAAAGTTTTCAAATTTTGAAAATAAGCTATGATGGACTAGAGGAAATGCAGAAGAAAATTTTTCTTGATGTTGCATGTTTCCATAAGTTTGGTGACAAGGAAAAAGTGATTGAAATACTAGACAGTTGTGGTTTTGTTGGCACTCGTATTGTGATACATGTTCTTATTGAGAAATCTCTCTTGTCTATTTCAAACAAGCATTTGTCCATTCATGATTTGATACAAGAAATGGCATGGGAGATTGTTCGTCAAGAGTCTTTTGACGAGCCAGGTGGTCGCAGTCGCTTGTGGCTTCACAGTGACATCGATCATGTACTCACGAACAATACGGTAAGAAGTTGCGCAAAAAATAAAATACCAAAGCCTTGGATAACATACTATAATTCCATTAAACATGATAAGAGAGACTTGATTATGACATTAACTTTTCTTTTATTCCTATTTACAAGGGAACGGAAGCCATTGAAGGCATAGTCCTATGCTTGCATGAATTGGAAGCGGCACACTGGAATCCTGAAGCATTCATTAAGATGTGTAAACTAAGGTTGCTCAAGATTAATGATTTGGGCCTTTCTTTGGGCCCAAAGTATCTTCCCAATTCCTTAAGGTTTCTGGAGTGGAGTTGGTATCCCTCCAAATGTCTGCCACCAAGTTTTCAACCTGTTCAACTTGCTGAACTTCGTCTGCAGCATAGCAAAATTGATCACCTTTGGAATGGAATAAAGGTAGACCTTTTTAGAGTTATTTCTTTTCAATTTCAATAAATTGTAAGGTTCTTGGAAGTTAATTAATTTAATCTACCATTTTCATGTTTTGTACAGTACATGGTGAAGTTGAAAACTATTGACCTTAGTTACTCCGAGAACTTGACAAGGACCCCAGATTTCACAGGTACTCAGAATCTTGAGAGGCTGGTTTTTGAAGGTTGTGCTAATGTTGTTAAGATTCATCCATCCATTGCCTTTCTCAAAAGATTAAGAGTTATGAATTTTAAAAACTGTAAAAGCATTAAGAGTCTCCCAAGTGAAGTAGAACTGGAATCTCTTGAAACATTTGATCTTTCTGGGTGCTCAAAAGTGAAAAAGATTCCAGAATTTGTGGGAGAAATGAAGAATTTTTCGAAGCTTTCTTTAAGCTTCACTGCTGTTGAGCAAATGCCTTCATCAATGATACCTTTGATCCCGAGTTTGAAGGAGATTGATATGAGTGGAATTTCTATGAGAGAAGCGTCATCCGCCCTGGTTCCAGTGAAAAATATCGAACTGCGTAGATCATGGCATTCTTTCTTCAGTTTTGGCTTATTTCCCAGAAAGAATCCTGATCCTGTGAGTCTGGTGTTAGCTTCCTTAAAAGATTTACGCTTTTTGAAGCGTCTACATCTGGAGGACTGCAGTCTTTGTGAAGGAGCAATACCTGAAGATATTGGTTTATTGTCCTGTTTAGAAAATTTACATCTTGATGGAAACCATTTTGTTAGCCTTCCTGCAAGCATCAGTGGGCTTTATAACCTTGGTATGTTCACAGTGAAGAATTGCAAAAGGCTTCAAAAATTGCCAAGCCTTCCATCAAACATGGATCTAGAGTTGCGTGTAGACGCGGATAATTGTACTTCCTTAAAAACATTGCCAGATCCACCACGGATCCGGAGCACTTCGATTATTTCTGTCAATTGCTTCAGTTTGGTTGATCAAAAAGGTTCCAGTTTCATAATATATTTAACGCTGAAGAAATTCCTTCAGGTACTTCTCCTTCTCCCTCTCTCCCTCCTTCCCTCTTTAGTTGTGTAGTACTATTTATATCCTTCCTTTGGTGCAGGAAATTCCTCCTTCTTCGGGCATCTTCAGTATTATAATTCCTGGAAGTGAAATTCCTGAGTGGTTCAACAATCAAAGTGTGGGAGACCCACTATTTGAGAAAGTAAATTATTCTAATAGCAAGTGGGTGGGGTTTGCTTTGTGTGCTCTATTTTGTGTTGAGGAATCAATTAATTTAAGGGCAAGTTTCTTGGGTCGTTATATCAGTTTAAATTGGCTTGATTTAGAAACCGGTACTTCCTCGGAATATGCTAGTTCAGTAGACGGTGATGTATCGTCCGATCACCTTTGGTTGATCCTCCTGCCTAGGCAAATTTTCGATTGGCAGAAATGCTACGATATTCAGTTTCATATCTACGCAGGATTTGCTGCAGGAGAGAAGACGTGGTTGAAAGTGAAGAAGTTCGGAGTCCGCGCACTGTACGAACAAGACGCAGAAGAGCTCAACCGAACAATGAAACAATATTCCAACATAAAGAATTCTTTTTATGAGGACGTTACAGGTTGTGATTTTGACAAATCAGACAAGGTACAAGGTGCTATTACTAAGCGAACACGTGAACAGTACTGTAATGAGACAGGACCAAGCGGTATTGGTAGCCTTGGCAAAGAATCACTCTGCAAAAGAATGAAAGAAGACTAACTTTCCAGTGCCTCAAAGGAAGACTTGAAAGGTTGGTACGTATTGCTGCAGGAGAGAAGCCTTGGCAAAGAACTCTTCCCATATTATCATATAACATTCTGTTTGAACTCGTCCCCAAACAATTTTCCTTTTTTTTTTTGTATGCGAACATTTTAGCATATGATTCACTCTCTTTTTTACCGCTACATATTTCTAATTCATTCACGTTATTAGTTCACTTTTCCATTATCTTATACATTTTAGATTGACGATCCAATACATGGTTAACTAATACAATTCAAGAACCTGTCATATAATTGGTAGATTTCCCACAAGTTCATGGTTTCTATAGATGGTTATAACTAGTACAATTTAAGAACCTGTCATATAATTGGTAGATTTTCCACACATTCATGGTTTCGCTTCAGTTTTTTATCCTATTAGGTTGGATGAGAATACTTCTCCTGCTACGTTATATTTAAATTCAATTGAAATGCATATATGCAGGATGTGTTGCACTGTGTATTCTTGTAAATCTTGTTTTGTTGTACCAATCACTCTGGAAGTAGAACAAGTTTTGACAGTCTTTCTGCTTCTTATAATCAGATCCAAATTTGGTTGGGGGAGGAGAGTTCCGTCATCCGGAAGCCTAACGGGCGCATTTTACCGACTGAAGCATTTAAACATGGTTTGGGAGACATCTATTTATGCTTAAATTGTTTGTTTCTTAATTAGGTTAAATTCCACATGTGCTGTATAAATTCAGTAGGTTAATTAGTGCAGCCCTATTTGAGAGATTGACATTAACTGGGGCATGGACGAGTCAATGAACTCCAAAATGACCTGTGCTGTAATTCCAGTACTTCATTTTTCCTTGTACAAAAAGCTTTTATTTATTTATTTTTTTCAGGCATCGGTTATAACCCTTTCAATGCGTTAGTGTGTTAGAGTTACTTAATATGTATAACAAATTTAGTAAACAGAAAAATCATTTCACAGTAATCTGTCAAAGAATTTGGGCTTAAGAGTTAGGCATATAATTTTGGGTCTAATGTGTATATGCAGGGCAAGGCAACAAGAAGTACACTTATATACCAAGGAAAGAGTAGCTGAGGGTTATATGCTATACCACAATCTGCCAAGCGATCTCCGCCAGATTCCTTTACTCCAAGCATAAATTTTCAAATAAATTAGGGTGCAGGGGTGTGGTTACGTTAATAATGCATTGAGTACTGCTAAATAAACTCTAAAATTAACTGAGTACACTCTAATATTTTAATTAAATTGTAAAATTAACTAAGTGCACTCTATGTAACTACCAAAAGTACCCTTGGTACACCCTAATATACTCTATCACACAAAGTAAAGAAACAAAATTGAAAGCCTTTGGAAAGAAAAAAAAAGAAACATATCCCACCAATAGTCGGTTCCTCCCACAACCACAAAGTGAAAGAAACCAAATGCCAAAGTGTTTCATTCAGCTAATAGCTTGTATACCTTAAACACCAAAGTCTTACCTGCACAAAAACCACAAAATTAATTGAACCAAACAAAATATCATGACCTCAATTGCAACCACAACCACATCTCTAGAAATCATCTTCTTGTACAACATCATCAGTCCCTGTCTATTTTCAATATGTTGCCAACCATCATCTACAATAAGGAATCACGGAGGCATGACAATAATTCAAGTTTAGCAAATAAATAGAACTAAGAAATAGCCTCTTACAAGTTTCAAGGCAAGACAATAATTCAGCACAAGAATAAATTCAAGTTCAACACAGGACCTTCGAACATTCAACGACACCTCCTTGCCCTCCGTCAGTGCTCGCTATTTGATTATGGTTGAATATGTGGCAAGTAGGGTGTACTTAGTAAAATTATATTTGTTTCACAATTCAATATTTTTTTTTTTGGTCATTTTATATTATGGTAAATTAGTAATTCAATAATAGTTTGATTGTAGGGTGTACTCAGTTAATTTTAGGGCTCGGTTAGTAGCATTCTAATGCATTTTGCTTTCAATCGCATTGCATCTTCTCAAATTCATAGTTTTGTAAGTATGAGCTAATGCTTATAGGGTTACAAAATGTTCTTTGTGCAAAATATGAGGAAGCATACTGAGTTGTATAAGCCACTTCAATAGTCTATATAACATTATATTGGTCTTCTAGACTAAGCATGTGTTACTTTTGCTTAATTCGTAAATTGGTTGAAAATATACTCTTTGGCCAACTTAACTACTCTAAGGAGGCGCATACATGGGTTAGCGAGTCGGCTAAGGCTTTGTCCGCCCTATTGTACTTTGAGTTTGATCTTTCTTCCTATGTATTAGAGTAATTTACAATATTGCTTTGTCAAAAAAAAAAAAAATTAATAATACCCTAGGGAGACAATAGTATATTGGACCATATACCACTTGTTGGGCCATGTTGTCCCTTCGAGTAGTTTAGACCCCTCAAATCAAATGTTACGTTCATCCAAATAATGACTTAATGAAATTCAAAAATAGTTTCTTAAATTTAATTTTGCTTCCAAACCAATGGTGTCATGAACTTGAGCTTAATATCATCAACCAACTTTATTCGCACACATTTTCAAAGAAATTATGTTTAAAGTTTTATTTATATTTTTTGACATAAGCATATGAAGAGAAGGGAAATTGAACTTAGAATCTTGGATGTACGGATTAATGCTCTTAAATAATACAAAATGGTCAACGAGGTCTAGCCCAGTTGAAAGGCCCTTGACTTTGTTGACCAATGGTCTCAGTTTTGAACCCACATGACCAATGGCGGAGCCAGGAATTTAAGTAAGAGGGGGCACCCTTAAAAATTCAAACACTCTCTTTTATGACAAATCAACCTAGTTTTTAAGAAATCCCTAATTTTATCACTTTTCTCTAATTTTTTTTTTCTTTACTTTTTGTATGAACAATCTATCACTCTTTTATGATAACAAAATACATGCAATTCAAAAGAAATTTAGACATGAAAATGAAAGAGAAACAAAGAAAATAGTGGCCATTAAAGAATTTGTGAGGAATTTTATAATATTTGTACAATATACTAATATAAAATTGTATGTATAACAATATTTGAGAGGGGGCCAGTGCCCACCCTGGGCATGCACTGGCTCCGCCACTGCCAGCAACCG